AGCCTATGCTCAAGAGATTCAGAAACTCAGTAATTCTACAGCTGTGTACTTTCAAGACTACCAGACTTCCAAGTCCAGCGTGAGCGCCTTTGTGGATGAGCCTGAGCCCACCATCGTGGCGAGCAGTTGCATTTCTGTGATTAAGCACTCTCCGCAGAGCTCTCTGTCTGACGTTTCAGAAGCATCCTCGCTGGAACATTCACAGGAAGGCCCTGCGCAGGGAGGCTGCAGAAGTCCAGAAGGCAAGTTCCAGGTCATCAAGCAAGAGCCAATGGAGCTGGAGAGCTACACCAGGGAGCCGAGAGACGAGCGGGGCGCCTACCCCACATCCGTGTATCAGAACTATGTGGGCAGCTCCTTTCCTGGCTACTCACACTCTCCCCCGCTGCTGCAAGTCACCCGCTCCTCCAGCAACTCCCCCCGGACGTCAGAAACTGATGAGGGCGCAGTGGGGAAGTCCTCCGACGGGGAAGACGAGCAGCAGGTCCCCAAGGGCCCCATCCACTCCCCTGTTGAACTCCAACGCGGGCACGCCACCGTGGTGAAAGTGCCCGAAGTGAACTCCTCTGCCTTGCCACACAAGCTTCGGATTAAAGGCAAGGCCATGCAGATAAAAGTGGAAGCATTCGACAACGACTTTGATGCCACGCAAAAACTTTCCTCGCCCATTGACATGACATCTAAGAGACATTTCGAACTCGAGAAGCATAACGCCCGGAACATGGTGCATTCTTCTCTGCCTCCTTTTTCAGTACAGGTGACGAACATTCAAGATTGGTCTCTCAAATCAGAAATCTGGCATCAAAAAGAACTTAATGGCAAGACACAGAGTAGTTTCAAAACTGGAGTGGTTGAAATGAAAGACAATGGCTATAAAGTTTCTGACCCAGATAATTTGTTTTTGAAGCAGGGGATAGCAAACTTCTCTGCAGAGGTGGTTTCACTGAAGAGACTTATAGCCACACATCAGATCTCTGCTTCAGACTCCGGGTAAATTACTACTGAGAAAGCTGTGGGCACTTAGGAAGATGTCATTTGCAATAGATTGAGTACGTTTTGTATTAGGCTGAATTTTCACTGGACCTGTGATGTCATTTCACTGTAATGTTCACATGTTGTCTGTTGGGCGTCTCTTTGTGCACAAATTCTTACGAACATTAGATCGTGTTATCACTGTGTATAGTTGAATAGTCCACGCAAAGGCTGTGTATATCTTGAACATTATTTTTGTTGTTCTGTTATAAAGTGTGTAAGTTACCAGTTTCAATAAAGGATTGGTGACAAGCACAGAACTTCTGCTCCATTGCACCTGATTTTATGGAAAAGANGTGTTACCATCACCCCCAATTACCTCTCAAGTTTCTTTGCAAATAACTTTCCTGTAGTTAAAAAATAATTCTGTTTCTCGTGTGATTTTAATTAGAGAGCTTAAGCTTGTTTTTATGATAAGAAAGTTTAGTAGGGATTTACTAGTAATCTGTGCTTTGAGGGCTTGGTTTCATTGGAATCAGAATGATGTTTAAAAAGCCTTTTAGTTATCAGAACATGGTGTCTCTTATTCATTAACTTTCTAGGGATCTTCAACTGCAATTAAGTAGCCTTCAAATAAACACTAAAAGATTTTTTTAAATCTGTCCTATTCATAAGGCACATAATAAAATGAAGGACATTTGTAATCACTGCTCACTGGGAAAGAAAACAAAATTAAAAAGAAATTAAAAAGCCAAGCTGAGGAGAATTGGAATGATTCTTTGGTGTAATTACAAACACTCAGGAACTTTCCCTACCATATCCTTTCCCCACCCAGCCACTGCACCCGCACCATTTTGCCATCTTCACTCCATGTTGCATGTGTTTTGGTACTACTGACCCAGGGCAGAATTTCCTGTATCAGGGTTACTTTGCGACCATTGGTGACTCTTAGAATATCAGGTTAGTTGCTAGACTGGTTTTTTTTTTAAGTTTCAAGAAAACCAATAGTCCCTAATTTGAAGAGACTGCAGATTTTTAAAAATGCATTACTCTTACAGCACTCCCCAAATTCCTCTCCCTCTTTAGTGAGGGTGGTTTTATCTTTATTTCTCAAGCCAAGCAGTTGTTTTGTATGCATTAGCATGTATGTGCTTACTCTGTGCAATCTTCAGAATATTGTCATTGTCCACTAGGTTATAAACACTGGTCTCTTTCATAGAAAAAATGTCAAGTTATACCAATTCATATTTCAATTCCTTAAATTGTGTCAGTGCTATAATAAAATGTAATTTTGTCATCCTATTTAGTAACTTTAAAGCTACTAGTCAAGTAGTTCTTTGTTGAGGATAAGAGAGCAAGAAGCTTGAAATATTTTCATGTATCATAAGCTCCATCAAGTTTTGACATACTTATTTACAGATGTACCCAAATAGAAAAAGTAGGTCAATTTGTTGCTATGGTAGGAGAGTTTTTGGCAAAGTGTGAAAGTCTGTTTATGTGTGAGTTGCTCTCTTGATCAAGTACACGTTTCTCTTTGACTTTAGGGTTAAAGTCTGTGTCACCAGAGACAGAATAGAATTAAATTATGAATGGGAGGCACTTCACTGGCACTTAGAGAGCTTTAGCTTAGTTTTAATTTTAAAAATCTTTTATTTTTCAGCCTGATTAGAAAATTCTGTTGCACCTTCAGTATTTCCTGAATGTTTTCATCCCTCCACTCTCCAACACTTGATTGCGCATGTGTATTCTTTTCCTAGTTTATGTTCTCTTTAAATACCAGATTTTATTTTTATTCATGAAAAGAAGTAAAGCATTTTATGAAAACAATCATGTTGTGGGTTTTACCCACAGGAAAAAAACCTAGGTTAACATTTTGCTCCTGTTAGCAGTTTAAAGAACTGTGGGTTAATTAACTTTTTTTCCCACTAAAATGACACTTATCTCAAAACAAGCAACTGACCACTTAGTGGAAAGATGTTTAACAGTTTAACAAAGAGGATTTTTTTTTCTCCTTTAATGGTGTCTGTACTATACCTCTGAGGAAATAAGTAGCACATCCAGAGACTAGAGGAAAAATGAGATAGTTCTACAGAAATGCTCCCAAGTCATTGATGCTCCCATTTCATATGTTGACAGAATTGTAAAATCAGAATACATAATAGAAGCAATTTGCAATAAGAGTTCCGCTTTAAAGAGATAATTAATAACAAAATTTTCTCACAGTAGATTTTAATGTCTAAACTATTAGCAAGATTTTAGATTCTTGGAGCAAAATGTTTCTTTTCTTGTTTTGTAGAGCTTGAATTGTCAAGCATTATTCCTCTGAGAGATGCGTGAGAGGCCAGGGAAGCAACAGGCCTGTCATTGTAAACATAAGTAATGCGGTCACTCCTCAATGGGAAATTTGGTCTAGAATTTATGTTGTAAAGTTTTATTCTTTTAGAGAATTTTCTAAACCAAATTTTAATCTTAAAACGGTATTCAGGTCCTCTGACTTAGGTAGACTGTAAAACAAGGTTAGGAAACAACTCCAGCCGGTAGAGAAAGTGTTAGTGACTGCCCAGCCCCAGGCGGTGGGGGAAAATAAGTCCACTGGAATGTGATACTCCAGCTCCGAAATTTCTCTTTTTATGTGTGTTTTTAAGAAATAGCCATATTACCTAATGGGTGTGATGAAGCTGAGCAGACCAGTATCACAGAACTTGCATTTGGTGTCAGTTACTCACCAAAAAGGAAACTTCAGTGTGACTGATACAGCAGAGTGGTAGCTGAAAACCGGAGGCAGAGGCTGGGGAAGCCAGTCATTAAGGGGAAACATTAGGATTTGAAATAAACTCATTAGGTGAGCATAGTGATGTTTTTAGAAGGCATTGTAAACTACCTCTACATTCCACTTAAGCTCCTGCTTGAGGAACATGAATAGATCCTGGGGCCCCCTTAAGTGCTGTGTGATCTTGGGAGAGTCACTTAGTCTTTATGTGTTTTAACTGCCCACCCTTCCCCGAAAATGGATACATTTTGGTTTTGTACCAAAAAATCACTGGTGACAATGCCTATAGCTATAGCTATAATTTTTTCTTTACCTTTATTTTAGTATATAGGATTGTCAGAGAAGATTAAAATCTTAGCAGAGATATGAAATTTTGGAATGCTTTCTCAATTCATTGACTACTCTGAGGACATAAACTAGCTCTGAGAAAGCTGAAGGGAGGTTCCAGATGTTACCCTCTGTTGCCTTAAAGAAGTTCTGGCAACATCTAGTAGCACCTTACTGCCCCCAGAGTAACTGACAAGTGAGGTGTTAGAGGGAGACTCAGCAGAGCGCCCTCTGCAAGTAGAACAGAGCGCACCAGTAGAGGAAAGGGACTGGGGCCTGGACCATGCCAGGCTGTGTGACACTGGGCAAGTCACTTAACTTCTCTTAGTCTGCATTTCCCATCTGAAAGTGGTTACTGTGAGCGTAATGAAATAAAGACAGGCCAGTCTTAGTGCATGTTGTATAGTAAGTGTTTGGTAAATGGCATCTAATATGATTGTTGTTGTTATCACAACAGTGTACTAGAAACTATTCAATATGTGCTCCGGGCCCCCATGTGGTGGTGCCCCCCACCCCCTACCAGCCCATCTGTGTCCGTACACCATAGGTGCTCCATGTGTGGGGTGATAAATCAATTAATGAATAAGAGAAACTGTTAACATGTAAAATACCTTTTTTAGAATTTACATAGTATTAAATTTTTTAGAAGTATCAAGAAAGTTTTTTTGGTCACAAAACTCTTCTATACAGTAAATGAGTGACTGTCAGTCAAATGTGGAGTACCTAGAATATTCCGTGCGTTGTGAGGATACATATATATTACTTAGTCCTCTGAAGTAGTCTTCAGGCTAATTGAATATACACACCAACATGCAGGAAGATACACGTGCACAAAATCAGCACCTCTACATTATCTCATACTGAACCCTTTTCAACACTGCAAAATTGTTTGATGATGAATAATATTACAGAAAATATCCAAAAATAGTATGTGGTGATTTGCCAATGGAGTCGGAGAGACAGTTAATATTTGCAGATGAGGGAGGAACCCAGATTGTAGTACACGTAGTAAAATTCAAATAGGAGAAAGGTTAACTACAAAGAAATGATACTTTCTGCAGGTTTTAAATGTACCAACAAAGTTCTAGAGATGATGAGGTGGGCGAACAATACTTAGACACCAAGAGGAGTTAAGGAGATTCTAAGACAAGCAGACTATTTTCATTAAATCGGAATGGGATTCTGTTCTCCACACAGTGTGCAGGGGGCTGCCTGGCCCCCACTCACACCAGACTCACGAGCATGTGGTCTTTGGACCAGGCAGCTGAAAGAACTCCAGCTCACCCAATGCGGATTTGAAATGATGGAAATGGTATGAAAGGATGAAAATTTTACAGAGAATAACTAAGCAGAATGAGGGGCATTTCAAAGGCATGACTGTAAAAACTATAGCTGAGGCAAAATGTGACAGGCATGTAAATTTTTTAAAGTAAGGGACAAATTTAAAAATGGGAAAGATTCTCAGGTGGATCAGATACACAGAATAACAGTGTGCAGGGAGTTATGTGATGTATAAAAAGACAGTAGTACCAGAGGGCCCGGTGTGAAAGGGCCATGAAAGGCACCTTGGGGAGATCCCTGTAATTGTTCGGCCACTGGAATGCTTAGTCTTTGCTCCAACACTCATGTACTGTAACTGATTAAGGGAATCCTTAACAGGAGGACAGAATCCTGTCCATACGTAGAAGAAAAATGGGTTTTCATGTCAGAAGATGAAAATATAGAAACTAGTGTTGTTTTACTGAGTGGGGAGACCAGAAATCCAAAGTCCCTTCCTACACTATCATGCCTGCCCAGGCAGACTCCTCGCCTTCATTTCCCACTGAAGTTGTAGTATCAAAAACAAACAAACTTGGTATTAGTAATAACAGGTTTTGCTAGATTGCAACCCACTGTTTCCGTATTGGCTCAGTTTAATGGACAAAAACGTGATATGAAACCTCATTCTTTATGATCCTGAAATTATTACATCATTGCTTCTATTCCTTCTGGAAAAGGCATGAGAAGCTGGCAGTCTTTCCCAGTTGATAAAATTAAACTTCATTAGTCATTAGAAAACTATGCACAAGAAAGAAAGAGTGACGTAAAACAAAAGCATTTAATCTTTTTAATGTGGCAGGATAAAGTGCCACATGCATTGTGCTGAATGCTCAGTTAGTTGTCTTGCCACATCTCCTTTATGAAAGTATCAGCTCCCGGAAAATTAGCAGAGAGCCTGTTAGATCCAAAACCCACCTCGAGACGATTGTTATTGGAACCTAATAAGATGTATTATCTCATGTCAAGCCAAACTCAGATTATAAATATTTCATCAGTGGAAAAGGAAACTAGTTGATGGTCATATTTTTTTAGTTCTTTTATTATTTTGTTTGAAACTAATTAGCAAAATGAAAAGAAATTCTTTCCATAATTCCCTTCTCTCAGTTTAAAATAATACTGAGTTTCAAGACTGCACTGTACTTAAAAAGGAAATCCCTTTGAATAGTAGCTATTGCTTTTAGTCCAGAACTACTATGTAAATGAAATCTATTTTGACAGAATTTTCAGGATTGGAAAAGGCACTTTGGGTGCTTCAATCTTGAGTGAATGTTTGATCAGTGAATTTGAAGGAGCCAGGAAAAAATAATTTCTAATCTCATAACGCACATGCTTCAAAGAGTTAGCTTTTTTTAGGAGAATCCCTCTCTCAGGTATGCTGAGGCCCCGGGTGGAGTAAGCTGCACAGAAGCCCACCAGGTGGCCAGGGGTGTGATAGACAGGTTTTGTGCCCACATAACAGTCATGTTGAAACAACCACATGTCAGTTGTTTGTGTGGCTTTTATTTTCATTTTTATGGTAATAAAAATTTAGCCCTGATTGCACTTTATTCCACATAATTGCCGAATTTGTTTACTAATACTAAAGGGGTTTTCTTGGAAAAGTTCCTTTAAAAGGGAAGCTGATTTGCTTTGCAGTGATGTAAATGTTATCTAAAATGATTCTGAAGCACCACAATATGCAAGTACTATTGAAACACCTACCAGGCAGAGGCGATCTGTCGTTCCCTCCCTGTAGTGCCCCATCTCCACGTGCCCTCACCCACACTGCTTCGGAGACTCAGCCTTCCTCTGCTCCTCCCCCAGGGCAGATGTGTTCATGCTCTCCCTCTTCTGGATCACATGTTGCTCTGCTGATAGGTCTCACTGGGGATTTGTCTTCTGCAGCTTTGCTTTAGGGTATAAGTATTTGGGTCCTTTTCAGGATTGTAAACTCTGTGAAGGAAAAAGCTACATCTTGTGCAGAACTGTGTACCTGAAATGCTTATTGTAGTTCCTTATACATAACTGGTGCTGAATGTTTACCCAGTGGATAACTGTTTTCTTTCCATGTATTGCAGGTAACCTGGAAGACTCCTACTGCATTCAGTAAGAGGAGCCTGAGAGATTCATTATTGACAGGAGAACCGAAGGATGAATACTGATGGATGTTAACCCCCAGTTTTCAAAGCATTTGAGAATCCTGGGAAAATAATTTGTTCTCCTGCACTGCACATACAGGTTAAGGTCATTTCTGATGCAGCTGAGAAAAATGCAGACCATCAAGAAGGAACAGGCATCTCTTGAGGCTGGTAGCAGTGTGGACAAGATGTTGGTGCTCAATTCTGCTTTAACCGAAGTCCCTGAAGACTTGGCAACAGGAGAAGAGCTGGTTCTAAATGAGGGAAGTGTGGGGAAAAACAAATCTTCAGCGTGTCGGAGGAAACGGGAATTCATTCCCGATGAGAAGAAAGATGCCATGTACTGGGAAAAAAGGCGGAAAAACAATGAAGCTGCCAAGAGGTCTCGTGAGAAGCGTCGACTGAATGACCTGGTTTTAGAGAACAAACTAATTGCTTTGGGAGAAGAGAATGCCACTTTAAAAGCTGAACTGCTTTCCCTAAAATTAAAGTTTGGTTTAATTAGCTCTACAGCCTATGCTCAAGAGATTCAGAAACTCAGTAATTCTACAGCTGTGTACTTTCAAGACTACCAGACTTCCAAGTCCAGCGTGAGCGCCTTTGTGGATGAGCCTGAGCCCACCATCGTGGCGAGCAGTTGCATTTCTGTGATTAAGCACTCTCCGCAGAGCTCTCTGTCTGACGTTTCAGAAGCATCCTCGCTGGAACATTCACAGGAAGGCCCTGCGCAGGGAGGCTGCAGAAGTCCAGAAGGCAAGTTCCAGGTCATCAAGCAAGAGCCAATGGAGCTGGAGAGCTACACCAGGGAGCCGAGAGACGAGCGGGGCGCCTACCCCACATCCGTGTATCAGAACTATGTGGGCAGCTCCTTTCCTGGCTACTCACACTCTCCCCCGCTGCTGCAAGTCACCCGCTCCTCCAGCAACTCCCCCCGGACGTCAGAAACTGATGAGGGCGCAGTGGGGAAGTCCTCCGACGGGGAAGACGAGCAGCAGGTCCCCAAGGGCCCCATCCACTCCCCTGTTGAACTCCAACGCGGGCACGCCACCGTGGTGAAAGTGCCCGAAGTGAACTCCTCTGCCTTGCCACACAAGCTTCGGATTAAAGGCAAGGCCATGCAGATAAAAGTGGAAGCATTCGACAACGACTTTGATGCCACGCAAAAACTTTCCTCGCCCATTGACATGACATCTAAGAGACATTTCGAACTCGAGAAGCATAACGCCCGGAACATGGTGCATTCTTCTCTGCCTCCTTTTTCAGTACAGGTGACGAACATTCAAGATTGGTCTCTCAAATCAGAAATCTGGCATCAAAAAGAACTTAATGGCAAGACACAGAGTAGTTTCAAAACTGGAGTGGTTGAAATGAAAGACAATGGCTATAAAGTTTCTGACCCAGATAATTTGTTTTTGAAGCAGGGGATAGCAAACTTCTCTGCAGAGGTGGTTTCACTGAAGAGACTTATAGCCACACATCAGATCTCTGCTTCAGACTCCGGGTAAATTACTACTGAGAAAGCTGTGGGCACTTAGGAAGATGTCATTTGCAATAGATTGAGTACGTTTTGTATTAGGCTGAATTTTCACTGGACCTGTGATGTCATTTCACTGTAATGTTCACATGTTGTCTGTTGGGCGTCTCTTTGTGCACAAATTCTTACGAACATTAGATCGTGTTATCACTGTGTATAGTTGAATAGTCCACGCAAAGGCTGTGTATATCTTGAACATTATTTTTGTTGTTCTGTTATAAAGTGTGTAAGTTACCAGTTTCAATAAAGGATTGGTGACAAGCACAGAACTTCTGCTCCATTGCACCTGATTTTATGGAAAAGAAAAAGTTTAAGTTACAAAAACAGGTATTAAGGTATTCTGCATTTTACTTATTTGGGGGAGTTTTTAAGTTGAGCACATAACTTGTTTTCTTCTGGGTCAGTTTAGGCTATAGGAAGTTTGGAAACTTCCAAAGAGAGGGAAAAATAACAATGTATTTTCTTACATTTGAGCCTAATTTACTAAATTACTCTACATTATCTATTTTTCTTGATGGTTAACTTTTCTCTATAATTTTTTTTGAGGAGAAAAATCCAAGTTGTTTGGCATCAGCATCACTTGGGTCATCCCTATTTTGAGTATGACACATGGCTGTGGATAGTTGAGTCACTGACCCACTTTATTAATAAGAGATTCTTTTAGAAGAGTGGGTAAAGGCTGAGGGTGAAGTCATTTTTGTGTTATTGTAAATCTTAACCATTCTGGAGTGTAAGAGCCAAGGGAGTTAAGCTGGTGAAAGCCTGTTTTTATTTTATTTCCAAAATTTCAAAGAACACATCAACTGTCACATTCCAACATAAATAGTCTGAGTATGTATAATGATGTGGTTTTTTCCTATTTTTTCATGATGACTATAAAGTAGATGTCTAGAAGAAAGCATCATTCTAAGTAAATTGTGATAAGACCATGACTGAAGATTTGTCCAGAACCCTCAACTGCCCTGCAGAAGTAAGTGCTGTCAAACTTGGACCAAGTGTCTTCCATGGCAGGTGGGACGGGCAGGCTGGTGGCATGATGTAGGGATGGACATTTGTCATACCACTTTCTCCATAGCTGCTTTCATCAAAGCTGCCTCCAGGGTCCCTTTCCACACTGGCCTCTTCCCCTGTTCTGGAGCAGGTGGAGGGATTGAGGTGTCACAGACACGCATAGGGTGGCGTGACTCTTGCTGTTACCCGGACCTCAGTGTGGCGTCTAGGGAGAGCCCTGGTGTAACATCCCATTATAGGGTTCTACAGTCTTTCTGACTTTTGGGTTTGAGTAAAACCTGATGTTTGAGATCTTAAACATTTTTTAGATCTTCCTACATCTTACATCTTAAAAAGTGGTGCTCTGAATAAGAGGTGGGGCTAGTAATGCACACCCCTGCCATCCATGTTGTCCTTTGGCCCTTGCGACCAGTTTGTCCCTGAAGCCTCCTGGCTCCTAAGAGAAATCTATCTCTGGTCTCAGCCCTTGGCCTCTTCTTTCTAGTAGTTTTTAGAGACAACGTGAGGTCCAGAGGCAAACCCATCTCATTTTTTAATATTAGGAAGCCAAGGAGGGCTAAAATATTGGGTGGCAGTCAGGATCCAAAAGCATTTGACAGCCTAAGATGGATGGAATGAATCCAACAACATGAATTGTGGTACAGATACAAGTAAAGCCAGGTTCCTGTGTTGAATGTGGGGCGGGGTGGGGTAGGCAGGGTTGGGGATGGGGGGAAGCTGTCCAAGTTCACAGTTGGGAGAAAAACAATAAAATTACTTATGGGGAGTGCCGGAGGCTCTAGTTCCCTCTGGGTTGCTATGAGTCAACGCCCCGTGGACTGTTGGGTTGTGTCAACACAGTGTCCAAACAGAGAGATTATCCTGTACCTGGGTGCATGCATGCTGAGAGGTGCAGTAGAGATGTCACAGCTGTGAGATAAAAGATTCTAAGAAAATGGTTGATAAATTGCCCCTCAAAGGAATGAACCTTATACTGTGTGGTTGTGGAAGGGAGAATAAGAACAAACGGGTAACAGCAAGAGAGGTAAATCTTGAGTTACTGTAAGGGAGAATGCTGCATCCGCCAGAGCGGTACAGAAGCAGTGGCCTATAGGGCCATCGCACCTTCCCTATGAACAATTCCAGCTTCATCGGGAACCAGAGAGATACACAGTCCAACCCCACTGTGATCCTTCTGTTGCTGACGTGAGGAAATGCTGCTGCATCTCCCTCCCACTCACAGAGTTCCTAAAAATGATAGGTGATATGTGTACTGCCAAACAAATCCATGACTATCCTCAAAGAGTAGGAAACGAAAGCCTCAGGGCACCAACATTCTTAAGATTCCCAGAAAGACGTCTATGGGTAAGAAGCTGCGGCCGGCAAAACACAGAGCTATACCCCAGCTGCTGGACACGGAAAGGGAGGCGACCCTGTTGGTCTGCAGTGGACTTCGTAGGGACACTGCAGCAGAAACAGCCCAGCCGGCAAGTGAGCAGGGCGTGTGTGTGTGGGGGGGGCCCTGAGGCCGGCACTGTCCCTCGGCAGCAGCCCTGGGTCCCCACAGGGTCCACCTAACAGCACACCCCTCTGTGTCCAACCATGTCTCATTACTTTTATTATTACTTTATTCCTTTGCCCATTCTGCATATACAAAGGAGAATCCTGAGACTCAGAGCCAATCGTTTAAGCTCCCACAGCAGCCAGAACCCGGCCACACATGCCCCCATGGAGGCAGGCTGGCCAAGTGTCTGCCACTTCAGTCTCCTGCTGATGGAACCTCGGAGAGGAGACTGGAGTCTCTAACCTGCAGGAGGAAAGGGGCATCTAGGAAAGTGTCCAGGTTGTAAGTGGCTTTTCTCTGTAAAGTACTAAAACTATTTAAGCATCCACTTTTTCTATTGCACAATAGTTGTGCAATAACTGGTTTCAATCTTCAATCTTAAGCAAATAATTCCAAATAAAAACAGCTCAATCTGTGTAGGTCTTCCAGTTCATGTGGACATTCACACATATTCCTCTTCTGGAGTCTGATCCCTCACAAATGGGCCCCTTCTTGTCACACAGTCATTGTTCATTAAAAACTTAAGAAAAAATTTATTGGTAGCTAGTAAACTCATTTTTGAAAACTAGAAATGATCCTTCACAATTGAGAATCATTGGTAGCACCCACTTTGTTTTTGTGTCTGTGTGGGTTTCAGGCACGGATTGGGGTTGTTTAGAATGTAGTATAGCTGTTAGAGGGATGTGTGCAGTGTCCCACCAGCTGTGCGCACCAGACAAATTTAAATGAAAAACTTGCCAAATATGTGAAATATGGGGAGACTCAGGATACCAGTGATGGCAGAGAAATAAGAGAAAATTCAGAATTATAAACTATATAGTCTTAGAAAAAATGTGAACTGGGACATCTTATGGGATGGTAACATTAAATATGAATGGTTTAAGGACTACATCAGTATTTTCCACAATTAGCTTATACAGGTTCTGATGGATATAAGAAAAAATATCTCAGGAACTAGTGGAGGTAAGTGGTGGCTTGGGCAAAGGAGGACAGGTGGCATTAGAAGGTGACAGCACTACTTAAAAAGTCAGGAGGGTGTCCACCCTTCAGGCTAGGGACTGCTGGAGGTGGTGGCCATTGTGAGTGTTGATAATGTTACTGGCAGACAAGGAAGAGGATTTCAGAGTGAGCTGAATAAGCTGAGTTCCCCAGGCAGCTGTAACTGCCAGTTTTGACCTCCTGTCTTGTCCATCTTATCATGCAAGAAGGAAAAGGTTACTTTGTGGAAAGTTCTGAAATAAAGTCAAGAGTTCCAGAAGTCAAAAACAAGGTTCTTTTGAAAATGCTGGTGAGCAAAATCCTGAACATAGGAAAGAAATCTCTGAGCACCAGCCTAAAGTGATGTAACAGAAGGAAGGGAAGGGCCAAGGAATCTTAGAGGTTCCCAAATATCTGGCTATAGACAATTCAATGGAACAAGGTTAAAAAAAGTCATTCTAACAGCCCTACCAGATCTCCTCTGAGAGAGAGAACAAACCTTCTGAGAAAGTATCTTCAATGTGCTGTTGGGGTCACGGAAAGGCCCTAAAAAGCAACTTTGGGGGTTCCTGGGCACGAAGAAGAAGAGGTTAGTGGCTTTGCAGAGAAAATGGAAGGAAATGGGGTGGGGGTGATTTGGACGTGGGGGTTGGGGAGCTTGGGGGCTGCTTTTGACGGGAAGGGGGCTGGAGGAAAGGGAGGGAGGGGACAGGAGGTCCAGGTCGGCCATGGGGAATATATGGCAGTGCTGCTTCCATTTCCTCTGCAAACTGTCAGAAGTTCTCCTAGGCTCTCAAGTGCTTTGCAGGAGTGGGTTTTTGTTGGCTTGCTGGACTTATCTGGGTCAGCACTCAGCAGAGCACGCATGGCAGCTTGCCTGGGAGCCAGTGCCAAGATTGGGCAATGTTGAAGGAGGACACTGGGGAGCCTACAGCACCTGGATGGGGCCAGGGCCTTGACACTCACACAGCCGAGGCTCAGAGACCACCTTCCCTGGGTCTCTGGGGTTAGGGACACCCAGCCAGCCATCAGTACATACCAATTGCCTGTGGATACCCAGTTTGGGGCTGCCTGCTCTAGAGGCAACATAGCAAAAACAGACAGTATTTCCTTTTGGAGAGTTTTGAATTTCCTGGAGAAGGAAAGTCACAAACCCTGGCAGTGGTAACAGCCTGTAGATGCCACCAAGAGGGAGAACGTGGGAAGGAGGGGCATGCATCTGGGCAAGTGGAGAACCCAGCTGTGAGGGAGTTAGCCCTCGGAGGTGCAGAGAGCAGGGGTCTCCCGGCCATCAGGGAGCAGGAGGGTTTACTGTGCCCCTGAAGAAGGACTGTATGTAGAGGATGGCTGAGAAGTAAAATTCAAAAGTGAATGTAGAACCAGTTGCAAAAAAAAAGGTACTTGAATTCCAGGCTTAGGAAATGGCATGGGTCACTTGAGAATGGCCGATGTGACATCATCCTGTGACCGCCTGCAGAAAGGACGGAAGGTCAAGAGAGCAGAGGGAGGGAAAACAGGGCCTGAGGGAAGAGGGAATGAGGCTGGGGGGATGCCTGGCCAGCCTGTAAAGGGCAGGAAGAACACGCTGTGGATGGATATAGCAGGGCCAGGCCCTCTGGCTGGCAGCAAGCGTTGCTTGGGCTCTGGCCTCTTTCCACCAGCCCCACAGGCAGGTCCACAGCCATCCCAGGCCATGGTCAGCTGGGAGACCACACTGAGAAACCCCAGCCCTGGCCC